TATTGTTTGGTTTGATTCTTTCCTATCAAATAATACTACTATGTATTCTAATCACTATGGTTTAGATATAGTTTTGCTTATATTTAAAAAGCAATATTTTATTTGATTTTAATAAATTAAAAAAACCTTCTGTTGAAATAAATGCTATGCAATTCAATATTTGCCATATTGCACAGATTTAAAGTGAGATCGTTTGTAATTAAGGAAAATAGAGAATGTGAGTAACAAAAATAATTAATATAAAAACTCAGTGCGGAAATGTCTAGTAAGTGGATCTGCACCCCCCACCCTAGGCCTGTCTAGTTATGGGGATCATCATTTAAGATTACTCAGGACTGTTGATGAAGTCTATGTTAGTTTTGAAAAGTTAACTATTCTTCATTCTGCTTTTAAAATTAGTAAGAATTTTAAAAATTCATATTATTTAATTCTAAAAGTCAGAACAAAACTTATCATAATTTCCAATTGAGCATAAGGAAAATTCCTAAAAAGGCCCATCTTTGCTTCCTGATTCTAGTATCTAGAAGTATTCACAATGAAGTATGAGCAGTAAAGTCCAAGTTTCATCCAGAAAGCCATTGAGTTAGGTTATGAAAACAAAACAAAATAAATCACTAAGACAACTTTCAGCAGCACTTTGTTTTTGTATTTTTATTTTTTTCTCAAATTGTAGACCTGCATTGTTATCAATGAGTACTCTGAAAATTTTTGATTAAATCATGTCTTACTAGCAATGGAGCTTTAGAATCGAGTCACTAATAAGAATAAATATTTCTATCTTACTAGAAGTACACTGCATTGGGGTCTGGGGATGCAGCTCAGTAATGCAGTGCTTGCCTAGCACACATGAGGAGGTCCTGGGTTTGACCCCCAGCATTGCAAACCAGACCAAACCAGACCAGACTAGAACAAACTAAAAGTATATTGCATCAAGAAGCAATTTTGTTTTCCAGACCTGTTTTTAGATTCTCTTCTCTAGTTCCCAACTTGGCATAACCGTTCTTTAGAACAGTTCATTAAATAGTGATGTCTATAGGAACATTTTGGTTAGTTATACATCTTCTTGTATATCAGCCCTGCTCTCTAATTTGTATTAGACTCAGTAGTAAGTTCTTAGTGAAGAAAAATGATCCCCTCGTTTCTTCCTCCCTAAGAAAACAAAGTTTGATTGAGAAACAACAGCAAATGAGCCTATTTTCAATAGTGCCCTCCCCTTCCTCAGGGACAAGTGACTTTCCATGGATCACAGCATGTAGCTGGCTTGTGAAAACTCATTTCTTCTGGTAAGAATGTATCTACATACAATAGCAGAATTACATGTCTCAAATACAATGAAATGTTCTAGAAAAAAATGATTTGATCCACATGCTGAGTGAGAGGGGTAATAGGATACTGACATAATTACCTGAATATAAAAAGTTTGAAGTCCAGAGTATTAGAAGTAATTCTCTTTTATATTTGTTGGCTATGAGCAAATTCTTAGGTAAGTTTGGTGAACACTTCAGCCCAGACTGAAATTTTATAATCTTTCTTTGTCACATGCATTTTATTCTCAATCTTTAAATTTTTATTTTTCTCCTTTTATATGCCTCTGTTAATCCAGACCTTTTAAAATTTTTCAACAACAAAATGAGTTCTTTCTTTTTATCTAATCTTTCTTCATCATCCATCCAACATTAAATTCTTGCTCTTGGGGATTTCTTCAGTGTTTGCTGTGCTATTGACAACTGTGGTTGAGGAAGAAGAATGTTATGAGGACCTGAACAACAGTCTCACTTCTGCTGTTGACCTTGTGTTTCTCTTAAATCACTTTTTTTGGTCCGTTTAGGTATTTTTTTGCCCATCCATTGTCTTTCTACCTACCTGTGAGAGCATTAGTTTCTTTATGTATTATGAGAAAATATGTGTTATATTCTTAGGATTAAAATTTATAATTTGATCATACTTTGGAAAACCATTACACAAATATAACACATTATTATTTGTGTTTTACCAGTTATTTTAAGACTTCTGAGATTTAGGATTTCATATTACTTTTCCTGAGTATAGATTCTCTCTTCCCATGGGAATTAGCTATTAGAGAGAAATATAGAGGGAAATATTTTTTTTTTCTTTTGTGCAATTCATAGTGCCATGGATGAATTGTAGCTGACCAAATTATAATTTTTCTATCTTTTGTTTTTCAAATGATCTCTCAATATTCAATGTTTTCTTTTGTCTAGGTGAGGAGCATGAGTTTGGGGTCATCTAATTGCTTCAAATGTGGTCTGGGCTCAAGTGTACAGATTTTAAAATTGATAATTTCTAAAGAAAACAATGTCATTAAAACAAATTATGTAGAGTATATATGGGCATATTACATATTAATATAGATACACTGTGTGGTTTGCATGTGTCCCTCATATTTCATGTATTGGAAACTGGACCCTCAAAGTCATATTCTAATGGTATATGAAGGTGAGGCCTTCGGAAGGTATTAAGGATTAAATGAGGCTATGTGAGGTTCCCATGATGCAAATAGTGGCTACATAGGAAGAGGAAGAAAGCCCTGAGCTCACAAGCTGTTCTGCCACACGATGCCCCATGCTGTCCCAGAACTCTGCAGTTTCCCACCAGCAAGAACGCTCTTACCTGATGTGGCCCCTCACTCTTGCATCTCTAGAACCATAAGCCAAAGCTATCTTCTTTCCAATTACCAGGTCTGTGGTATTGTATTATTAGAAACAGAAAATGAACTCATACACCAACCTTGTGATATTATATGAATTTTAGCCTCTTCCTTTCATGGGCCATTAATAATTATCCTCTTTAAAAACTATTTGTAAAATAATCACGCTCTTTACATTAGCTTGTTGCATCCAGATGTAAGTTACTCAGAAGACAGAGGTTTCATTTCTGGAATTTGCTCTCGATAGCTAAGTACCCCCAGGTGGTTTTCTGAAATTGAGTTTTCTCATGTATAACATAGATATAATATCACTTCACTGAATTGTGAAATTAAGATAATTGTGAACAAGAGAATCTGAGTGCCTGTTTTGGTGCCCAGCACAAGGTTGATTTTCAATGAATGTCTTTTCAAGTCTGATTTTATGAAAACGAGTGCATGCTTTTGATAGAGAAAAACTTACTTTTGTGTCTTATAAGCAAACTTCTGTTTTTGTAGCACAGTGTACACAGTGTGGCATTTTTGAGTCTGCTGCCTGTGTATCCTCTTCCCGGCCCATAATGCTCTTTCACACTGACATCTGCTTAACTTTCCTCTCTGAACAATTTGAGCATCATCTTCATGAAATCTGCCAGATTGCTCTACCTCAGCCCTTATGGTAAACTGAATTTATGTATACCTCTGTCTATTTGTGTTATTTTCATATTTTTATTTGAAAATTTCCTTGTAATTTTCTTTTGTCTCATTTTATATTTTGAATTTGGTGAGGTACAAGAAAGGGTTTTGTCCCTAAGTTCTTGGTGCAGAGAAAAATTCCACATGTCATTGGTTGCCTTTGAAAGTGGAAACCATGTTTTGATCTTGACCCACTGAGCTCAACACTTTGTGGGTGATCAATGAATATTATCCAACAATGGGGAATTGTATCTTTTCATGGTATGAGACTCTTTGATCTGATGGCTACAATTTGGTCATTCAGGGGAAAGACTTCCTACAGGTCTTTGAAGGTTTTTGGAGCAGTGTGAAAGAAAAGTGAGATTGGAAATGTTGCTTAGTAGAAGACCTAGTAGATAAGGAAAGGGTCAGAAGTAGCCTGTAAAGTGACCTGTTTGAATGAGTGAGGCAGAAAGGGTAGGAAATCCTGCTATTTTGGACAGCATTTATTGTGTCTTACAGATGTACATGTTTGGCCATATTATCAAAGATACCACCTTATTTTTAATATTGTTTTTATTAAAGTGGAGTTAGCCTTATGTTTGGAGAGAACATTTTCTTCAAGTTCTCTCTGAGCAATCAGAAGAGTTGTTCCCATTCTTATTGAACTTTCCCTTCTAATTTTTCCCTCCCTCAAAATATGATTAATTATTTGACTGTATGTTTAAAGCCTGAAGATTCTGTGTTTAAATAGTAGCTTGATAAACAACAGCAGTAACAAATTTAATTTTGATTATATCATTTGGAAAAAAATAAAAGCAATACATCTTTATATGAATCAATAAGAGACTATAGAATTAAAGAAAAAATATAAGGCTCCTAAAATCCCATCCCAGAGACCCATGTCAACATTTTAGTTTATATTGGATCAACCAGGTGAGTTTCTGGAATGAAAGAAATGGAAAGTCCATGACTGTCGTTGTGCTCAGAACAACTGGCTATGTAAGAATATGAAGTCAGAGGCTCTGAGCTGATCCTGAATTGTGATATAGGGAGGATTGCAAATACTTGTATAATTGTGTGTTTTCAGAAACAAGATCATGGTATACAGATGGTTTTGTGGCTTGTTGATTTTATTCATGATATTATGAGCATCACTGTGTATAGTTATTCTTCTAAAGCATTTATATTTCATAAAATATTATTGTTCATTCCATAATGTTTAGAACCAATTCCATTTGTTAAATGTTTAGATAGATTTCTCTCCTAAAAAACAGTAAACTATGCAGAGATGAAGATCCTGCAGATAAATCTACATTCATGACCATGATGGTTTACTTAGGGTGAGTTTCTAGAAATGATATTGTAGTGTCATCAGATAAGCATGTTTAAAATTTGTTTGATACATTTTGTCCTGGCCAGCTGTGATCCCACAGCTATTTGCCCAGGAAATAATTGCTCTACTTCTATCAATATTAATAGGTTGATTCCATATCATATCTACATACTACACATACTTATATGTGTGCATGATATTCTATCTATAACAATTTTTACTTTTAATAATTATTTGTAGAATATACTGTATCTTTTGAGCACAGTAACCTGTCACAGCAAATCAGTTTGTAAACATGTATTTCTGATATGTCTACTTCTAAATGTAATTATCTCCACTTCTCAGGTGCCTGCATGAACATCACCCACAGCCAATGTCAGATGCTGCCTTATCATAACACAATGACACCTCTCATCTCAGTTATCAAAAACATGAAAATGGAGAAGTTCATCAAGTTCTTCACATACCTCCATCGTCTCAATTGCTACCAGCACATCATGTTATTTGGCTGTAGCCTCGCCTTCCCTGAATGCATCATTGATGGAGATGACAGGTATTTTGAAGCCAAAATCATTCAGTGATAAGAATCCAGTTATTAATCAAAATTAAATTTGTTATTGCTGTTGTTTATCAAGCTACTATTTAAAAGTGCCCAAGAGGAACAAAAGTATCCTATGCTACCGCCTTTCGTTTTTGTTACTTTTAGAGGAGAAAGAGACCCATAATTGTCATAACCAGTCGTAATTCTCTGAAGTTGCAAGGGTTTGGTAAACCCAGAATAATCTTATACAGTGAGAAATCTGTATTCAGTGTGTAGGTTGATGCTGTCAGAGGATACTCAAATGCTGTTGCAGTGGTGGTCAGGCAGGAGACACACAACACACCCCCAGGGGTCACTGGAAGAGTTTATTGAAAAGACTGGCAGTGTGGGCAGAACAAATAGAATAAACAGTGCTAGGAAGTACCAGGTTCTGTTGATAGGGAGATGCAGTTCCACCACCCAAGGCTGGAAGAGCAGAAAGGGCTAGCAGCACCTTTTTATTTTTGTGATGCTGGTGACTGAACCCAGGGACAATACTAGGCAAATGCTTTACCACGGAGCCACATCCCTGGGCTGACCATCCCATATTTTAACTTACTAGACAGGCCTAACCAAGTTTTCTCTCTCTGTGTGCCATGAAGGCATCCTCTCTCGAAACAATGGCAACACATAGGGTTGGGGGTCTCCAACTGTCCAGGTGATGTCCCTGGGCAGAGGAGCACAGCCATTGAATGCCCTTCAGTCCTGCAGGGAGAGAAAAGAAGGAACAAATACCCTGACCTCTCTCTCCTGACAGTGCCTCTAACCTACTGAATTCAGGCTCCACAAGAGGACAGAAGGGGACACAACTGATCTTCGTGCTGTGGATAAGATCCAAAATCTAATTTAAATGTCATAAACTCCAAAGTCCTAAATCTTATCATCTAAATAATCTAAGTCAAGTATGGGTGAAATTCCGGATGATTCTTATCATCATGAGAACCCTCTGCAGGATAGAGAGTATGAAGAGTAGACAGATGTGGAGGGACAAAGAGATAATTCAGAATAATGTTAAATAGGATAAGAAATAATTTTCAATCAGAATAAATCAATAAAAAGGAGCCATGGACTATTTGAAACACCAAGTATAGTTTTAAAAAATGTTCATAGCATGTGTTAAACGTATGTTCACAAACAACATCAATTATTTCCTGGATTAAAGTGTTAGGAAGTTTTCAGAGTAGTAATATAAGAATAAGTTGCATTTTCAAGTGCAAGTAGGTTTCATGTTATTTGTACTAATTTAATTAGTGTGTAAAATATGCTAGGAATAGGGGAAAGGCATATATTATTTTAACTGCAAAAAGCATGGGTTGCCATTGCTTTGAGAGAGGATAAAAGCAGCGATTCTGAATTGTAGAAGAAAAGGACTATTATTAGACACATCATTCAGGGAAACATTTCATGGTAAGGAACTGGCTGCAGAGGGTTCCTTCATAGAACACACAGAGAGAAACATGGTTAGGTCTTTCTCATAAGTTAAAATATGGGGTGGTCAGCCCAGGGATGTGGCTCTGTGGTCAAGCATTTGCTTAGTATTGTACCTGGGTTCAATTACCAGCATCACAAAAAAATGAAAATAAACAAAAACACAAAATGGAAAGACAGTAAAGAGGCCCTTTCTGTTCTGAGACAATGGCAATCCAAAAGATAATTGCATTGGTTTCTCAGGGCTGCTGTAACAAATTACTACAAGCTGCACAGCTCAAGCAACAGAAATTTATCCCCTTACAGTTCTGGAGACTAGGAGTCCAAAGTCTGCTCTTTCCTAGGGCTCTGGGGGAGAATTATTCTTTACCAGTTTCTGGTGGCTTCAATTCTTTGACTTGTGATCATATCACTTCAGTATCTGCCTCCATCTTTACATAGCCTCTGTGTTTATGTCTCCTTCTGTTCTGACTTTGAACCTTATAAATAACGTTAGGGCCAACCCAGAAAATCCAAGATCATCCTTGTTTCAAGATCTTTAACTACAACCATGAAGACCCTTTTCCAAATAAGGCCACATACACGGGTTCCAGGAGTTAGGGCATGGGCATCTATTGGAGGGCCACCAATCAACATGCTGCAGTGATTGAGAAAGTAAGCAAATGAAATCATGGTCACAGCTTTCTTGTCTATTAAATGACAGTTATACTTTATAAAATTAATATGAGGATTAAATAAGAGCTCAGTAAAGTGGGTGGGGAACATAGCTGTTATAATAGTGCTGGGCTCAATCCCCAAGACTGCAAAAAAAAAAAAAAATCAGCAATAATTATAAGATGATGTATTAAACAAGACATGTAGTGTTAATGAAATGAGGAACATAAAAATGTATCCAGGATATATGGTAAATATCAAAGGATTGCAAAAATGTAGGAGAATATATGGTTTAAAAGAAATTAGAATACCAAAGGCCGACGGAACTGGATTCTAGTTCTATTTCTGCCAAATTTCAAATGATTTCACTTAAATTACTCTGCCTTAATTGCTCTTACTTTCTCACTTCTTAATTTCAGAGTGATTTAAGTGAAATTATTTGTGTGCTCAAAAATAGGGCAAGATGAGAGTACTTTCAGCTTTCAGAAGTCTCTAAATTCATTTTGATTATCCTTTCTATTATAGTTCAATCTCTTACAGTTACTCATAATTTTCAGGGCAGTTTTAGTACCCCAAATTTGTTTTCCCCCTGACCTGGTTCATATAAGAGTTTTTCATTTTCTATTACAATGAATAATAATTTACAGTTAGTTTTCAAGTGTCCTTTGGGGACTTATCTTATTTTTATTATTACATTTATTATTATGTTTAGTTTTATAATTGTGCTTTCAACCACTCCTTCCTGCTGTCATATATTGCACACATGGGATCTGCAACCTAATTAATAAACACAATAAGTTCAAAAAAGTAAAAGGCATTGTTGAAAATAATTACAAAATTATTTTGAATTTTACATATTTTATTAATTAGCTTCTTCTACTGTTCAAATAATGGAAGGGTGCTTATATTCCATGCTAGAGAAAATAGCTACTTAAAAACATTTAGAATTTAATTTAAAAAGACTATAGTGGGATGTATAAATGGTGTAATTTTTAGCCCAATTCCTTTGAGACCTCAGATACTCATTAGTTATATGTTCTAATAATGAAGTTGAACAGTTTTTACTTTACACTGTGGGAGCTTTTAATAAATACATTTAGTAAATAAATAACCCAGGCTAATTGGAGTATAATATGAATTCTATGAATTTAAAATTTAACTGATGACTATTTGGGTGGCCATAAAAAATATGTGGGTTAGGAGGGATAGCTTAAAAATATCAGCAAGTTTGACTTCATAATGGCTGCCATTCTAACTGGAGTGAGATGGTATCTTAGAGTAGTTTTAATTTGCATTTCTCTGATTGCTAGAGATGGTGAGCATTTTTTCGTGTAATTGTTGATTGATTGTATATCCTCCTCTGAGAAGTGTCTGTTCAGATCCTTGGCCCATTTGTTGATTGGGTTACTTGTTTTTTTGTTGTTTAATTTTTTGAGTTCTTTGTATACTCGGGAGATTAGAGCTCTATCTGAAGTGTGAGGAGTAAAAATTTGTTCCCAGGATGTAGGCTCCCTATTTACCTCACTTATTATTTCTCTTGCTGAGAAAAAATTTTTTAGTTTGAATACATTCCATTTGTTGATTCTTGATTTTAACTCTTGTGCTATAGGTGTCCTATTAAGGAATTTGGAGCCCAACCCCACGAGATGGAAATTAGGGCCAACTTTTTCTTCTATTAGACGTAGAGTCTCTGGTTTGATTCCTAGCTCCTTGATCCATTTTGAGTTAACTTTTGTGCATGGTGAGAGAAAGGGATTCAATTTCATTTTGAAATTATGAAGTCAAACAATAACAAGTGCTGGCGAGGATGTGGGGAAAAAGGTACATTTGTACATTGCTGGTGGGACTGCAAATTGGTGCAGCCAATTTGGAAAGCAGTATGGAGATTCCTTGGAAAGCTGGAAATGGAACCACCATTTGACCCAGCTATTCCCCTTCTCGGACTATACCCAAAAGACCTAAAATGAGCATACTACACGGACACAGCTACATCAATGTTCATAGCAGCACAATTCACAATAGCTAGACTGTGGAACCAACCTAGATGCCCTTCAATAGATGAATGGATAAAAAAGAATGTGGCATTTATACACAATGGAATATTACTCAGCACTAAAAAATAACAAAATCATGGCATTTGCAGGGAAATGGATGGCATTAGAGCAGATTATGCTAAGTGAAGTTAGCCAATCCCTAAAAAACAAATGCTGAATGTCTTCTTTGATATAAGGGGGGGTGACTCAAAATGTGGTGAGGAGGAAGAACAGGAGAAGAAAATTGCCTCTAGATAGGGAAGAGAGGTAGGAGAGAAAGGGAGGGAGAAGGGGAATTGCACGGAAGATGGAAGGACACCCTCATCCTTATACAAAATACATGTAGGATGATGTGAGGGGGAAAAAAAAAGAAATGTGTCACATTAGATTGGGTAGAGAGAAGTATGGGAGGGGTGGGGAGGGGGGAATAAGGAGGGAGAGGATGGATAGGAAGGGCAGCAGAATAAAATAGACACTAGTATTGCTGTATGTATATACATGTCTGTATAACCAATGTGATTCTGCAACCTGTACACTCAGAAAAATGAGAAATTATACCCATTTGGATTCAAATGTATGATATGTCAAGATCATTGTATTGTCATGTGCAACTCAAAAAAATGAAAAAAAAAAAACTCAGTAAAATTAGTATATGAAAATAATTGTTCTTACAAAAGTTAAAATTTTAATTTACTGTGTGTGCAAGTTTTTTTTCTTTAGAATTAATACATATAGAGTAAATAAATGAAACATTACCAAAAAAATCAGCATTTAGTACCTAGGAAAAAATTGACAATTTTTCAGCCTGAAGAATAACAACAGAGCATAGAGATGGCTTTTTGATACACAGAGTACATG